AAGCCTGCTTCTCTCTCTCCCACTCCCCCTGCTTGTGTTCCCTCTCTCGCTGTGTCTCTCTCTGTCAAATAAATAAATAAAATCTTTAAAAAAAAAAATAGTACCTGACACATGCAAACCACTATAGAGAAATGACCATAATTATTTCACACCATTCTGCCTTCCACCTCAGGGCCTTTGCACATGCTGTTTTCACTATGTAGGACAATGTTCCCTCTTCTGTGGGCCTAACTCCCACACATCCTTCAGGGCTCAACTCAACTTACATTGCCTCAGATAAGCCTCCCTGTTCAGCCTGTTAGTCTTCCTCATGGATCTTATCAATGCCTCCTGGGACTTACAAGTTGCAATTAAATACTCATTTATGCAATCATGTCCTTAGCTTGAGTTTAAGCTCCATGAAGACAAAGGCTATGCCTGTCTTTTTTTTTTTTTTAAGATGTATTTATTTATCTGAGAGACAGAGAGAGAGAGCACGTGTGCAAGTGAATGTGAGTCGGGGGAGGAGCAGAGGGAGAGGGAGAGAGAATCCTCAAGCAAACCCCCCCGCTGATCGCAGAGCCCTAGGTGGGCCTTGATCCCATGACCCTGAGATCATGACCTGAGCTGAAATCAAGAGTTGGACCCTCAACTGACTGAGCCACCCAAGCGCCCCCATGCCTGTCTTTTTTCACCACTGTCTCAGCATACAGTAGGAACTCAACAAATATGAAGTGTATAAATAATGTGAGGTTGGAGGCTGAGGACATGGACTTTGTAGGCAGCATGTGCTTAAATCCCTGTTCAACCACTTACTCACTGTATATCCTTAGGAAATAGACCTAACTTCTCTGAGCCTCAGTTTCCCCAGTGTAACAGGAAGGATAATCACAGTACCTGCCACCTGGGAGACCTGTAAGTATTAGAAAGAATAGCTTGGCACAGAGGACAAACTCAACGAATCCCGATTATTATTTTGATTTGCCCACTGAGTGCACAATATTACACTTGGCCTTTACTCTTCACTAACTCATGAAACCGACAGTCACTAAACACCTACTACGTGCCAGGCACTGAGCAAGAATACAGCTAACACGAGTCCCGTTTGCTGGTTTGCAGTGTGATGCTGGGCAAGTGACTCCACATCTCTGAGCCTTAGTTTCTATCACTTTAAAACAGGATGGATACGTTCTATCCAACCAGGTCAGTGTGAGGAGGAAGGGGAGAAGTTTCCATAAAATTCCCAGCCCTGTGCTGGGCACAGAGTAGATGACCAGAGAAAAGGAACAGCTGTTATTCCAGAGATTGGGGGATTGGTGTTGGCATGATCACGGATTAGGAGTGAGGCTGAAGTCAGGGCATGGGGATGGGGATCATGTTGGGGGTGGGCTTGGCTTTGGGGCTGAGACCGGAGTTAGGGAGGGAGAGGGGGTTGGGCTTGGGGGGAGCTGACTCAGGATGGGGTTGGGGAGAGGAGGGCGTTCAGTTGGAGACAGGAAGGGGGATGAGGCTGGGGTTGGTGATAGAGATGCCAAAGGAAGGGACAGGAAGACGGGGAGGAGGAGGGATTGGGGATGAGGAAGGGGAGGGGCTGGGAGGGAGCTGGGACTTGGAAGGCCTTGGGTTTGGGATGGTGTTGCAGCAGGATGGAGTGGAGTTTCGGGTGGCATTGGGGTCGGAAGTCCCCCCAAGAGGAAGTCCGGCTGGGGCTGTGCAGGGCTCACCCTCAGGGTCTAGCAGACGTGTCAGCCCCAGGTGCTGCTCAGCCGTGCGGAAGGCTCTCTGCAGGTTGTAGTTGGCGTTGGACTTGGTGAGTTTGCTGAAGTCCACGAGATCGGGCCTGGGCAGGGGCACAGAGCGGGCAGGCAGCAGGCAGGCTCCCGGGCCAGTGGGCAAGGGGGCAGAAGGACGTCCTTGTCGGAGCCCCACCCACGGCGAGGGGCAGGAGGGGCGCCACCTGGCCCAGGGAGAGCTGTGTGTGCTGGTACGTGTCCGTGCATTTATCTGTGGCTGTGAGAACGGCGTGAGGGCACGTGTGTGACTGAGTTCACTACGCATCCGTGTCTACTTGGGGGTGTTTCTAAACAATATCACGCAGCCAGCCCACAGGGCCCACACCCTCACTTGGCCACTTCCTGGCTTTCACGCTATTTTGTCTCTGTGCCTCGGTTTTCTCCTCTGTAAAATGGGGATAATACCAGCATCCACCTCACGGGCTCACTGAATATTAAGTGACTTACTGGAAAGCACTGAGAGCAATGCCGCATACACAGGAAGCACTCAGTAAATGTTGCCATTGGGTAGGGCTGGTGGGTTTCTAGCTGTGGGGGTGGGGCTGGGTCTCCCCATGTGTATGAGTGTGTATGTGTGACAGGCAAGGCTTGTGACTGAACACGTGTCTACAGCAGAAAAGGCTGGGTTCCGCTCCCACCACACCAGAGCAAGTCCTTCCCAGGCTCCGGGCCTCAATTTCCCTAAACTGCCATGTGTACAATCACGATGTGGGTGCACTTTGTCTGGATGCCCACCCTTCGGGCAATTCAGCGCCAGGCGTAGGGGTGTGAAAGGTGGGTGTGCAGGGAGGCAGAAGGGGGGCTCTGGGGCTCGCCTCGAGAAAGGACTTGCTAATGAGGGGGAGGCGGCCGTGCACACACCAGAGAGGACAGTCCATGGGGAAGTGAGCTCTCCATCCTGGGGGCACTGAAGCAGCAAACACAGGCTGTGTGTGCGCATGAGCGTGAGTGTGTATACACATCCATGTGAGGGCACGTGTGTACAGAGTACGTGGCCTGGACAGGGTTCCGTAGGGGTGTGTGCCTTGTGTAAGTGTGAAGGGCGTGCGTGTGGAGGGATGGGTCCTCAAGTCTACATGTGCATCTACATGCACACGTGTGCAGGCGCGTACCCACGGGACGCAGGGTAGGGGGCGGGGCGGGGCGGGGCGGGGCCAGGCTCCCCCAGGCCAGTGGTACCTGTGCCGGTGAATGAGCGCATTGAAGGCCAAGCCATCCCGCCAGCTGGTGGTGAAATTCTGGATGTTTACCTCAGGGTAACTGGCAGCATGGAAGGGAGAGACAGAGGCAGAGATGGAGACAGTCAGGAGGAAAAAGAGGAAAGGAGGAAGAGAGAGAGAGAGATAGACAGAGATGGATGGATGGGTGGGTGGATAGATAATAGATAGATAGATAGATGGATCAATTGAGGCACGGAGATGGAAAGAGAGAGAGATGGAGAGAAAACAAGATACAGACAGAGATGGGGAAAGAAAGGAGGGAGGGGAGGAGATAGGAGGGGAGAGAGAAGAGGGAGGGAGGATAGAAAACAAGGAAAAGCAGACATGGAGGTAAACACAAGACACCAGGAAAGACAGCATTGCAAGACAGGCAGCCAGTCCCAGAAGGCTGAGCGTCAGAGAAAGCCCGGTCTCCATCCATGCCTCCCCTGCCTCCCAGGGGCAGCTCTCCAGGGGGCACTGGAGGTCCAGGCCACACCCCTCCCGCAGGGTAAAGCGCTGGGGGTCCTGGGGACTTCCCAGCAGAGCCTGCACAGCTCCGTTCTCAGTCCCACTGAAGGTACCCAGAAGCCTGAACTTCTCCCTGGGACCGCCCGAGCCCCAGGGTGGGCCCTCTTAGGCTAAGGGGTGGCTGCTTTCAGGGTGGGAGGGTGGCCACAGCTCAGGAATAGGACTGGGATGTCCACACAGGTGCACGTGAGGCCTCTCGAGGTGCGGGGACGGAGGGGACAGTCCACTACTCTACAACACTGCTCTGACAAGCCCGAGTTCTAAATTTGAACCTGGCCTTCCAGATTGTTACACGGGTTTTATTTGTCAAGGTCAGAAGAGTGGATGTATTTTATTTATCAGTTCATTAACTTCAGATGTAACTTTGGACACTGAGGACTTGGGTGGCCCCTTGCAGTCCTGTCCCAGAAGGAACTCTCCAGATTAGGTTAGGGCCCGCTGGCCTGGTGGGGGCACCGGGTAGGGGGTGTGCTTACCCAGCTGTCTTCATCTGACACCACAAAAGCAGTGCGTCCTTGGCTGAGCGGGTCTCTCTGTTGTCCTCAGTCTCGATTTTGATCACTTGAATCTGTGAGGATACCAAACATGGCTGCTGGGACCCGGAAGGCTTGAGCCTGGGAGATACCGGCATCCCCCATTGCCAGGGAGAGTGGTAGGTGACAGAGGAGATGGGAGAGGCAGCTTCAGGCTGGGGCCGGGGGTTCAGGAGCGTGAGAGTGGGATCTGGAGTGGGCCGGGACATCTACAATTGGGGGAGGCAGTTGTGGACTAGGGTCTCAGTTTCCAGGGAAGCCTCCGCACTTTGGCGTCTGGCCCACCTCCTTGATCCAAGCCACCATCATTTCTGGCCTGGGCTAGTGCAGTCACGTGCATGCTGGTCTCCCTGCTCCTGCCCCCACAGTCTGTTCTCACAGCAGAGAGGGACCCTGTGAGCACCCGGATCAGATCGCATGCCTCCTCCCATCCTCAAGACCCTCGGTGAGTCCATCTCACTCACGGCAAAAGTAAACTTCCCCTTGTTATGTCTCTGACCTCATCTTCAACAGCCTACTCTGCTCCAGAGACCTGCTGTCCTCTTCATTAATCACCAGTGCCCTCCCACCTCAGGGCCTTTGCACTGCCTGTTCATTCCCTCAGGGGCCCACATGGCTCCACCCCAACTTGAGGTCTTGATTCATTTGTCACCTCTCAGTGAGGCCTTTGACAACCACTTGATTTTTTTTTTTAAGATTTTAGCCCAATGTGGGGCTCGATTCCAGGACCCTGGGATCATGACCAGAGCCGAAGGCAGATGCTTAACCGACTGAGCCACCCAGGCGTCCCTATGTCTATCCTCTTGATAAAACTCTCTCATTTCTCCCCATCTCAAATAGAATAAAATCAAAACTGCTAATCACAGATCACCTAGGCCCTGTCAACCCTTCTGACCTCATCTCCTCCCTGGTTCCCCCTTGCCTCCCATTCTCCAGCCACACTGGCCTTTCTATACCCTCGACATTCCAGCTCCTTCCCACCTTAGTCAGGGCCTTTGCAGATGCTGTGTCTCTGGCCTGGAATTCTTTCTCCCTTCATCTTCATGTCATGCAGCCATCAGCTTCTCAGAGAGCCCTTCTCTGACCACCGAGTCTAAAATCTCAACACTATCAACCTGATATTTTGTATTTTTTATGCTTTATCATAATCTATTCTTTTCTGCATAGCTCTTACCTAGAGCTGATCCTTTTCTCATCCATCTCTTGTCTATGTATTTAAGGGTTTGTTTACTGTCTGTCTCCCCCACCACAGTGTAAGCTCCATAGAGGCAGAAAATTTGTCCATTTTGTTTCTGAACTGGAGCAAAAATGCCTGGATTTGAATTGCAGCTCCACTCCCCAGCTGTGTGACCTTGAATATATTACTTTGCCTCTCTGGGCTTCACTTTCCTTATGGTAAAATGTAATGAATGGTATCTAATTTATGGGGTTGTTGGGCTATTAAATGCCAAGTGCTTAGAACAGTGCCTGGAACAGAGTAAAAAATATGTAAATGATCATAGTGATGGTGGTGATAATTATTATTATTTTTATCTTAATTTTCACCCCCACCACTGGGATTAGGTTTCCTGGATCCTATTGGGAAAATGTTTGGAATGAATGAATAAGTGGGGGAGTGAGAGTGGGATGCCCTCCTAAGGCCACACGTTGGGGGGCGGGCCGGGCAGGGGTCACCTGGGGATCACCTGGAAGCGCAGGATGATGGTCCACACTAGCCCCAAAGTCAGCCGGTGGTTCCCGTCCACAATGTCATGCGAGCCCACGTTTTCCAGGTGCACGCGCTGCTCCTTCAGGAACTGCAGCGCCTTGTCCACGTTTTCCAGCGAGTGGATCCTCATGCGACCGCGCGTGGGCCTTGGCTAGGGTGGCAGGGGCGTTGGGGGGTGGCCTGGCCGAGAACACTGTGCCCTCGGCCTCACCCCTTCCAAAGAAGATCGGCCCCCATAGCCACGCCCCCTGGATGTCCACGCCCAGGCCACGCCCCTTTGGTTTTTTCAAAGACCAAGGACCCAATCCTTTTTTTTTTCCAGGCGCCCAGGACCCAGTCCTTTTAAAGAAGCCTGCCCCTTCCCGTAACGAGACCCTTTTAAGAGCCGGTTCCCTTCTTGGCTTATTCTAGTTCCCGTCTCCACCCATTTTACTGAAGCTCCCTCTCCAACCTGATAGCCACACCTCTTATCTAGAGGCCTCAGCAACCTCGCCAATAACCCTACTCCCCGTCCTTTCCGCTGGATGTCTGCTCCAGGCCACCTTGGTCTGGCCACTAGATCCATGGCCACACCCCTCACTGCCTCCCTTTCAGGCCCTTGCGGAGAGCCACGCCCATTCCCTCAGGTCTCCCCGCGTTTATAGCACTAGTTTGTTTCTTTTTTTTCTTTTTCTTTTTTTTAAAGATTTTATTTATTTATTAGACAGAGAGAGAGCACGAGCAGAGGGAGCGACAGAAGGAGAGGGAGAAGCAGGCTCCCCGTGGAGCAAGGAACCCGATGCGGGACTCAATCCCAGGACCCTGGGATCATGACCTGAGCCGAAGGCAGACGCTTAACCGACTGAGTCACCCAGGCGCCCCAGCACTAGTTTGTTTCTGTGCTATAGCCATGCCACCCACGATTTCTGAGCTCTTTTAATAAATCTCTAACTCCCATCAGAATCACCTTTGCCATGAAGCCTCATCCAAGCCCAGAAATACAACTGCAACCCATACCACAAGCCAAACTCACACCAGCGTTCTGTCTGGTGCCCCAGATTTCCATGACCTACGCCTCCCCTTCCGATGACAAACGCAGCCTCACCCATCGACCCCCTGCAATAGCATCCTGCCCCTATTTTATAGCCCTCCGCCTTGCTACCGCACTACCCAGGCCAGCACCCTCTAAAAAAGCCCCTTCCTTCTCCAATAGCCCCACCCCTTCCAACAGAGCTCCTCCCCACCCCAAGCCCAGAGTCCGCAGGAACCGCGGCCCTCACCTTCCACAGAACCCCGCTTCGGTTCCCAGCCACGTCCCCAGGCTCACCCAAGCCCCAGCTCTGTGCCATAGCCCTACCCACCTGAATAAAGGGCCGCTAACTCGCCGGGCCCTTCTAGGACGTTCCACACACCCATAAGCCGGACCCTATGATAACCCAGCCCGGGATCCCAGGGCCGCCGCCTTCCCCCAGGCCCTCAGGTCCCCTCACCAGCTGCTCCCCAGACAGCACTTCCAGGAGCCGTGTGAGCACAAAGCCGTCGCGGAGGTCGGCGTAGAGGTCCACGATGTGACAGCCGACGCGGGCGAGATGCGAGTTCACCCACTTGGTGAAGGTCTTCTTCTGCACGGCCTCGCGCTCATCTGAAAGACAGGCTCTGAGGATACCCCGCATCCCCAATACCTCCCCCTTGCAACTTCTCCCCAGCCCTCCACTCCTGGCCCAGATCCTGTTTCCGCCCAGCTCTGCAACAATCAGGGCTTTGCACAAACCCTTCGCTGCCCACCTGGAGACAGGTCCTTTAAAGCTTTCCTGAGATATCACTTCCCACAAGAAGCCTTCCCCGGGTCTCATCCCAGTTGACCCTGTTGATTCAATCAATATTTGAGCACCTACTGTGTGCCCCGCACTGTTCTAAGGCACTGGGGACAGACAGAGGCCTTCCCTCCCAGAGCTCAGTTTAGTGGGGGCACAGATAATACACTAGGGAGCTATGGAAGGTTAAGGAGGGGGTGGGGCAGAATGAGAGTTGTGTTTCAGGACCACCTCTGGCCCGCGTGGAGAGTGGGGAGGGTAGGTCAGAGAAGGCAAGAATGGCAGCTCAGGGCAGAGACTGGGGAAGTGACTGGAGAGAGATGACAAGCGGACCAGGACAGAAGCTGGGAATGGGAGAAGGGGACATACTGGAGAGTTAATCACAGATGAAAAAAATAAGACTTAGCACTGGCGAGGTGTGGGGGATGAAAAGGAAGGGATATGCTAGGAGGAATGCCCCCTGAGGACAGGAACCATGTCATACACACACCCAAACCCCTCCACCCCCACCCTGTGGTGGTTGGACTGCCAGCTGGACCCCGAGTTTCCCACATCCCTGGGGCCCAAAGTAGGCACGTGACTGCCAAGAGGTGGGGGCGGAAGATTGTGTGCAACTGCTCAACGGCTGTCTCACTGACAAAGACATTGCTTGGGAACCTCTCCTACTAGCTTTTCTTTTTTTTTTTTTAAAGTAGGCTCGGCGAAGGGGTGCCTGGGTGGTTCAGTTGGTTAAGGAGGCTCCGTGACCAAAGCCCAACGTAGGGCTCAAACTCACCACCCTAAGATCAACACCTGAGCTGAGATCAAGTGTGGGACACTTAACCAACTGAGCCACCCAGGCGCCTGTCCTTTTTTTTTTTTTTTAAATAACAGCTTTAGTATGAGCTATAATTCACACACTATAAAATTCACTCTTTTAAAGTGTAAATTCAGTGATTTTTGGTATTTTCCCAAGGGTGGTACAACCCGCATCACCGTCTAATATCAGAACATTTTCATCCCTCCAAGAAAAAACCCTGTGCCCATGAGCAGTCACTCCCCATTCCCCCTTCTCCCAGCCCTAGGAAACTATTAATCTATTTTCTGTCTCTATGGATTTACCTATTCTGGATATTTCATATCAGTGGAATGATACAATATATGACTTTTCGGTGTCTGACTTCTGTCGTTTAGCATCATGTTTTCAAGGTTCATCCATGTTGTGGCATGTGTCAGTACTTTCTTTCTTTTTTATGGCTAAATAATATCCATTCTGTGGATATCCTGCATTTTACTCATCTATTCACCAGCGGTTGGACATTGGGGTTGTTTCCACTTTGTGGCTATTATGAATAATGTGGCTATGAACATTCAGGTACATACGTCTTTGTGTGGACACATGTTTCCAGTTATCTTGAGTATATACCTGGGAGTGAAATGGTTGGGTTCTATGTTAACTCTATGACTAAACTTCTTAAAAAATATTTATTTATTTATGAGAGAGAGAGAGAGAGCTTGCACACAAGCAGGGGAGGGGCAGAGGGAGAGGGAGAGAGAATCCCAGGTAGCCTTCCCGCTCAGTGCAGAGCCCCAAGTGGGGCTCGATCTCACAACCCTGAGATGGTGACCTGAGCCGAAATCGAGAGTCAGACACTCAACCGACTGAGCCACCCAGGCACCCCTCCGATTAACCTTTTGAGAAACTGCCAGACTGTTTTCCAAAGTGGCTGCACCATTTTACATTCCCACCAGCGCTGTACAAGGGTCCCAGTGTCCCCACATCCTCACCACTCCTTGCTATTCCCCATTTGATCACAGCCATTCTAGGGATATGAAGTGGTCTCTCAATGTGGTTCTGATTTGCATTTCCCTGGTGACTAATGATGGTGAGCATCTTCTTATGTTTACTGGCCATTGGTGTATTTTCCCTGGAGAGATGTCTATGCAAATCCCTTGTCCGTTTTTAAATTGGGTGAGTCTTTTTTTTTTAAGGTTCTATTTATTTATTTGAGAAAGAGAGAGAACACAAGCCAGGGAAGAGCAGAGGGAGAGGGCCAAGCAGACTCCCTACTGAGTGTGGAACCAGACTTGGCACTCCATCTCATGACCCCGAGATCATGACCTGAACTGAAATCAAGAGTCGAACGCTTAACCGACTGAGCCACCCAGGTGCCCCATAATATTATTTTTGTTATTAAGTAAACTCTACCCCCAACGTGGGGCTCAAACTCATGACTCCAAGATCAAGAGTCTCATGCTGCACCAACTGAGCCAGCTAGGCGCCCCTCTTTTGTAATATTAAATATTGCACTTGATTCTGGCAGTGAAAATATATATAAATTGCTAGAAAATAGCCACTGACTGACCTGTATTTTTTTTTTACTTTAAACAAGATCTTGAATGTTTACTTCTAATTTAAAAGTAAATATGCAGAAATTAATAGTAAATCCATATGAAATAACTTGTTTGTTTAAATGTGCATTTTGGGGGTACCTGGTGGCTCAGTCGGTTAAGCGTCTGCCTTCAGCTCAGGTCATGATCCCAGGGTCCTGAGATCGAGCCACGCATCGGGCTCCCTGCTCAGCAGGGAGACGGCTTCTCCCTCTCCCTCTGTCCCTCCCCCCTACTTGTGCGCATGCTCGCTCACTCGTGCTCTCTCTAATAAATAAATAAAATCTTTTTAAAAAATGTGCGTTTTGTGTTGTGTGGAGAGGATGAGGACCCATGTGAACACCTGATCATCAATCACACACCAGGAAGTGGTAATGGAATAGACATTGAATTGAGTATTTGGTTATTTTGCCTTCCAATGGTGGGTGCCCAAGCCAAACATCAGATTTTGGCCAACGCTGAAGCCAAAGTGGGACTTCTGTGCATTCCCCAGTGAGGTGCCAGAATGAGGACAATTGCATTCAGTCCTGCTTCTATTGATAACACGCTGTTTGACTTCAAGCGGACATTTCTCTTCTTTGGGCTCCATTTTCCCATTTGCAAAATGAGGGGTTTGGACTAAATCAATGGATTCTTATCAATGGAACTTATGCTTGGAAGACAGGGATCCATGAGAATATTTTTTTATTTCATAATTTCATTTTGATGATACCCAAAGGAAATGAATAGAAACACCTCCGGGGCCATCCGGATGGTGACTTCATAAAGCATGATGCCGTGAGATTTTGGTTTTTGTGACTACAATCTTGTTAGCATGGAATTGGGGTCCAGAACTGAAATGCCCACAGGGGCGAGGCAGGGTCTGAAACTGAGAAAACGAGGCCCTAGAACAGGGGCAGCGGCCACACAGCCCCTGTGACCGGAGCCTCCTTGGAACGGAGACCCGGTGTTGTCATATCATTTGATATTCCACAAGAAGCCCCAAATCTGGATTGTTTTTAAAAAGATTTTATTTATTTATTTGACAGAGAGACAGATAGCAAGAGAGGAAACACAAGCAGGGGGAGTGGGAGAGGGAGAAGCAGGCTTCCCACCCAGCAGGGAGCCCGATGCGGGGCTCGATCCCAGGATCCTGGGATCATGACCTGAGCTGCAGGCAGACGCTTAACGACTGAGCTACCCAGGCACCCCCTAAATCTGGATTTCTAAAGACAAAAATCTCCCTATTTTTAAAATGCTGGCAACTGATTTATGTTTGTATAGAACACAGTGCAGGAGGTGGGGGATGAGCCTGCATGGCTCAGTCTGTTAAGCATCTGCCTTTGCTCAGGTCATGATCCCAGGGTCCTGGGATCAAGCCCCACATTGAGCTTCCTGCTAGGTGGGGGGCCTGCTTCTCCCTCTCCCTCTGCCTGATCCCCCTGCTCCTTCTCTCTCTCTCTCACTCCCTCTCAAATAAATAAATAAAATCTATTAAAAAAAGAAACAAAACACAGTGGGGGTGTGGCGCCTGGCTGGCTCAGTCACTTAAGCTTCGGGCTTGGTTTCCGCTCAGGTCCTGATCTCAGGAGTTGTGAGATCAGCCCTATCCCGGGCTCCATGCTCAGCAGGGAGTCGGCTTAAAGAGTCTCTCCCTGCCCCTCCCCCCACTCGAGGGCATGGGCACTCTCTCTCAAATGAATAAATAAATCTTTTTCTTTTTTTAAGATTTTATTTATTTATTTATTTATTTAT